ATGCCGCACGGCTGTCACAAGCAAATCACTTGCCACACTCGCGGCAAGCTTGCAACAAAAAACACGTGCAGACTGGCTGCCATTTGTACCTACCTAATTTTAAAGGTGAGCCCCGACTGAAATCCAGGTAAAGTGACATTTAAGTGCATTGCCTGTCGTCTGCTGGCAGAAGAGCCTGGACGAAAATCCGATTTACCAAATTGAGGCACATTCATTTTAGGTGTGCCACTGAGCAGATGACCATCAAATGGATTGCCTTAAAGTTGTCGACTTTATGACGCAGTTCGGTTAATAATAGAGGGCACAAGGAACAGGAGGCATAATGAATTAATTCGCAATTAAAGAGCCCTGTCATTAGGCAACCGGCTTTCCAGTTCCTGCATAATGAAGCACAAGTGTAGAGAAAGTTAGTAAGCTTATTAATTGGCAAATCCCAGGTACTCGTGGCTGTATTGAAGCAGCATAACCATAAACAGCTTAGTGGAAAGCATTTGATTCGAGCATCCTTGAGCAGAAAGTCACATGGCAGTGGCATTAGGTGCACTGAAAAGCACAAAGAAAACTGCGTTCAGTTGTATTTGCGTTCGGCGAATGCCAAAGTAGCAAACAGCTGTGCACTTTCCCACCATTTGCAGTCGAAAGTCCAAAGCGAAAAACTGTTGCATACATTCGTGCATACACTCAAGACTTGCGAAACGGAAAACTGACAAAAGTAACAATGGAACACTTCGCTTTTCCCATTCATTTTCCGCGATACAGCTGCCCCCGTTGAATTCCTGGCCAAGGAGTCGGTTGAATACGAGCTATATTTTTGGTCCACTTGAGGCGAGAGTTTGACCTCTGGCGCTTGGCATAGTGAAAGGAAGACTAAGAACCTGTGGGGTGGAAATCCATCTACAGTGAACTTAACCTGACCAAATCCATGGACGATTAATTAGGAATGCTTTGTGGAATCATCAGTTTTTTGCTCACATTTCCAACAAACAGCAGCGAGATTTTAGGGAAAAACTCAATTATAACGTGTACATATTTGACCAAAATTAACTCGCGCGCAGTTAGCTTGGTAAAAGTGTAATTGGCAGCAAGACGATAAGACCGTCTGGTAATTAATTGATGGAATCAAATTAAATAAGGACATTTCACAATCCTGGCTTAATTAATTCATCACCATGTCTGCCACATTGGCAATGACACCGCTGCTGAATGGCATATTAATACTTAATTGAAACGCTTCCTAATCCATTGCGATCTTGGTTTAAGTGAGGAATCCATTGTTTTTACACACCCAGGGAAATGCTAGATAAATTCCAGGGTATGAGAGCTAAAAGGGTTACCTAACTCAGTGAAAATGTACTGCTGTTAAAGGCAATATTAGTGATTTGTCCATAAATTTAGGTAACATTTTTCCCAAAAATTTAATGCCATTTTGGCTGGTGCATTGAAGTGCATTTTTCTAAAATTCGTTTTGCTGGTCTGGCAGTATTCAACCTGTCGCCTGAATATTTACAAAACAATTTTCGTACCAGAAAGTTGTCCTTTAGAGGTTTTAGCTACACTTCTGAGCGCTGGTTGCATTTTTTGTTTCCTTCAAAGTTTAACTTGCGAATTGCTGCAGAAGTCAGCTCCAAGTTTTTCGCAGTTGTCACAGTTTTCGTGACCTTGTCACCCCATAACTTTTACATAGCCTTACTTTTAATATGTTTATGGTACGCAAACAATAAGTAAGTAAATACAAATGCTTGAGCAATATATTAGATTTTTTGAAGTAAATATTATATAAATTGCTAAGCATAAATTAATTTACATTATTCGTGACTCTGCAAAGTCCTTTAATTTCACAATTAGCGTGGCACTATTTCATGTGTCTGATATGTAAGGATGATTTCCCAGAAACTTAAGCTTTTCCCTGCATTTTCGTTAATCACAAGAAAAGCCGACTTCCCCACTTCGATGGGGGAAAAAAAACATTATCCTGCCGATAATGGAGTGCTGGTACTTCGAATATAATTTATTTATGAATGTCTCCAGGCGCCCGAAAAGCGAAAATAAACAGAAAGGCAAATGTGTATCAGCGATGGCGAGCTGGGGGCCAAAAAAAAAAAAAACACAATGTAAATTTGCTGTGTGGCCGGGATTTCAAATAAAGCTCAACCAGTGGCAGCTACAAGAGTTTGCCAGCACGTGACAATATTACCAAAGGCGCTGCCCCAAAGCAAACAGCACTGGGGCACAAATAAATCAATTCTACCCGCTGGCAAAACACAGCAAAAGTTAAAATTTATTTCGATAAAAACCTGAAGCAGCATGCTACGTCTTGCGGCAGTAGCAAGTCCGATGGGCTCACCTATCACCTGCGCACCAAATTCGCTTCTAATGCCGCACAAATTAGGCACAAGAGAACAGAAATTGAACTGAAATCAAATACAAGTCAACATAAATTCAATTTCGCACATTCCCTCAGCTCAAGGTCCTTAAGTTGCTAGGCAGATAAACCACCCTGTTCCAAACTTAGTTCCTCAGCTTTCCTCAGCTCCATGGGGCTTCTAAAGTTGTGTGTAAACAATTTGTGAGCCAAAGGTTGGGAAACGACACATTCCTGCCAATAAAGTGTATTAAAACTAAATTAGAGCTGTAAGATCGAAACCCTTTATGATTGCGACTGCCTATGCCGCCCAAATGTTCACTGGATTTAAGCCAGTCGAGCATTTGCTGAATTTAGCACATCCGCAAGTCATACCATTGATTTCAGTGTATCGGTGCTATATTTTTAAACTGCACATACAGCTTATGCTTGTGTTCTTATTATTTTTGGGTCATACTCTTAAATCGAAATTGTATGATTGTTAAGTAATCCTTTTACAATTTTAATTGTTTTCGCATGTTGGGCCTTAGTGGGAAACTTTTCCCTTCATATTCTTCGGATAAAAACGCAGCATCAGTTTTATTCGAAACTTTTACACGAAATTGTCTTGAGATGTGTGTGTGGGTGTGTGTGTGCGCACTAAGTGTTTACTGTTTGTCGAGTAGTTAGTTTGAAAGCAAATATTTGCGAGGCTTCTGCTTGCTGTTCCTGCAGCTGCATTACGTATACGCCACGTGGCACGCGCAACGTTAAGCACGCTTACATCAGGCCAGCGATTCCACTGACATCGCATCCATTGGCGTAAACTGCACGGTTGGTTACTCGCATTTGATTATCGATGCTGTGCAATACTCAGGAGACAGCGACCTCGGCTCCCGGCCAAGTTTATGTGGCAACCAGCTGGAGTTCAAGCAATCGGTGCCACTGGCAACACGAGCTGCTCTATTTCTCGGGCTTGAAATCGGCGGGTCTTCCCTTATTTTCAGACAGTTTAGAAAGCAAAGCATTTGGAAATGTAGTGCTTATGTTGAGCAGGATGAGGGAAGCCAAAGTTCGCAAGCAGACAGCTCGCAATGAAATACTTATACAGTCGAGCTCCTCGATTATTTAAATGCGAAATGGTAGGTTTTCCGCACTGACTATTTAACCGTATACTCGCCAAAAGCAATTATAACATTCTTCACTCCTTGCTCGCAGTATAAAATAATGCATGTATTTCATGCTAGAAAAACAGAGTATAAAGCGCTCATTTTATCATTTTTTCCTCCATCAGATGATGCTCTGTGCACTCGAAACCAACACAGTCATCGAATTTGCAGAGCAACTGGGTGAATGATTGTCAATGCTTTTAGCTAAATGATGTCGTACATGGCGAAGTAAGTATGAAATGGATTGATCGATTATATGTGTGCCATTTTAATTCAATATTCAGACTTTATTGCCGAAGCCTTTAATAGAGATCCACGTTGCACTGCTGACACCTGCCATTGACGATGGTGTTACCACCCCTCCGGTAAATGGTGCCACCTCCTCCGCTCCTGCCGTCATTTCCTCGGGAAATCACCACATTGCCATCGCCCGGGGATGAGGAGAAGCTGCGATACTCCTGGCCATCCAGGTAGACGGGCTCTCCATTCGGATTGGGACCTTTTCGATTGCATAATTACTCATTGAGTTGTCTAAATGCCCAGCTGGCAAAAGAAACGCTACTCACAAGTCAGACAGACGCCATTGACCACCACTGTGCCGGGATGAGCTGCAAGTGATGGACAAATAAGTGTGTAAGTGTGTATCAATTAGCGTCGGCGGCAATCCCGTCCAGCTTACCGCCGATCAGAGCCGGAATTAAAGCCAACGGGAGCAGCACACACGTCAGGTACTTCATATTAAAGTCGATAGATGACCGGATCGCCTCTCACGCTGCTTATATAGTGCGGCAATCGGTTCGATCCGAATCAAAATCAATTTGCATAAGCCTAAGCGTATTTCAACAATATATTTAAATTCATTTCCCCAGAACACCCTATCAATGCGCATTCGGTGGGGTTTTCCGCATATGGTTTGGATGCAGCGCCGACGTAGTTGATTTCCTTGAACTTCTTCAAAGAAATTTATGGCAGTCACGCCCCGAAAAGTCGGTTTACAATTATCCCAGACGTAAACATGAATGGCAAGCGATTCCACAGAATCGCACCCCATTAAATTTATCCACACATCTACGTAAAACTGGTTTCAGCCCCAAAAGTCGTGACTCGTGAGTGGAACGTAGAACGTAGCGCCACTGAAGACGCTATAAAGCCAGCGAAGTATCTTAAAGATACAAGACATTTAATAGCAGGTAAGACATGCTTTAAGGTGAATTATGGACGCTATAATCTGAATTCAAAGCAAATACATCAGTTTAAATATGTACATAAGTTGAATATGTTCAAGAGACAACGTAGGGTATCCAGAAGCCACAACGACTGGCCATCCGATGCGCCACTGATTGTTTTTGAAACCCATCCGCGGGCAATTCCCTGAGATTAATACTTACGTAGTGGTTTGTTTGCACAGCAAAAGTACTCTGCAGCGATAAGGTCTGTTTGGGCTTAGATTAAAATTCAAATTCTGAATCGAAATCGGAATCCGAATCCGAATCGGCGAGTGCATCGTATATAAGCTGCTGCTGCGGTTCGTACCTGGTCCAGACCAGTTCGACGTTCTAATAGACCAGCCACAATGAAGTTACTGACGGCATTTGCGATACTCGCTTTTTTTGCACTGGCTCTAACGGAGGCGGCTGTTTACATTGGCGGCGGTTGCTACGACTGTAAGTCCATGCTCATTAATTTGGCCATTTTTCCATTTGCCGGCATATCATGCATAAATTTAATGCGAAATTTTCGCATTTTCATAAGCGAAAATTGGCGCAAACAAGCTATATGCTGTCATACTGAGGCATTTCTTTGGAATGGTTAAGGCTCTTGATTCCTATAGTGCATAGTACATTTTGTAGCTTATGTAAGCGGTGCATTAGCTATCGCGCAATTGAGTAACTACAGCGAACTGATTGAAAACAACTCTTTTAGGTAATCCGCCCGGCGGCCAGGGACCCGGAATCTATACAGGCAACGGAGGACGCGGAGGAGCAGCTGGAGGTGGATACAACGGTGGAGGAGGTGGCTACAATGGCGGCGGCGGAGGAGGAGGTGGCCGTCGTCCAGTATATTCGGGCAACTTTGGACCAGGCTATAGCAATGGCGGAGGAGGAGGTGGTGGAGGAGGTGGTGGTTACGGAGGAGGAGGTTATGATGATGGCGGTCTTACGCAGATTATAACTGGCTGAGATTATAATCTCCAAGCTTTGGTAGCGCTAAGCCCACAGAGCAAGCTTAGTTTGAAGCTTAGATTACATAGACTAAATAAAAAAACTTATACATTTTATCAGCGATGACTATTTATATATACCTACACAAGCATGAAGTCGCTTTTGTTCAGTTTCCAGCAGATAGGTTTACAGCAGAGGAACTAGTTTAAGTACAACTGCTGATTCAAGTTATTAAATACCCAGCCTTGCTCAAAACCACGAGTGAGGTAATAATAATTGGCCAGCTTTATAAATACATTGCAGCCAAGCTTCTAAAAATAAAATCCTTAATGACTGTGCGTTCTAGATTAGTATTCACTGCAAGTGTGTTGCTTTTTCTGTCAGAATTGCACATCTAAATATAAGTTCTATAGAATTTCTAGGTTCAGACATGTATAACGGAGTAGAAACTGTTCAAGAGTAATGTTTAATATTCACTTTAAGTCAAGAAACCGTCTGTGCCGTTCGGTTGAAGGAGTCAAAGTCCGGCAAGGGAAATAATTCATAAGCTTTTCAAAGTTTCAGCCATCATACTTGTCAGTCTTAATTAAAGGACTCGCCCTTTGTTAAATATGCAGCGGCATCGAATTTCCAAAAAGTTGGCCCAAAGAAACGGTTCGTGAATCCACAACCACTTAATTGATACAATTACCAGTTCGATTTTTGTTCGTTCGGCGATTTCGGTGAGCTAAGCTGAATCAAACGACCCGGAATCAAATTTAGGTTCGTTAAGTGTAATTATCGGTATCAGAGTATGCAATTTGTTAAACACTTTTCAAGGTTTTTAGTAACTCTTTGTTGTCTTGCTTCAGTTAGTTATTTCAGTTACTTAAGGAAATGTTGCGTTTACATTTTAAATTTCTGTACAACTTTTACATTTATAATTAGGCATTCGTAACCATTTCAAAGTGATTAAAGATTATTTTAGTTAAAGTTTTATTTTGGAAATACATACGTCGAAACTCTTCAGTGTCAGTTACGTAACTTCGATTTTTGAGTGGGGGAAAAGAAAAAATTCCCAAGAAAAAGTACTTTTATACTTGGAACTTGCGAGTAATCTAATAGAATACAGGATTGCTTTGTTTAAATACCTTAGAAATTTCACCATTTATGGGTGAAAGTAAGGTAAAATTCCAAAGTCATATTTTCTGCTGAATATTTCTGTATTTTCTTTCTTCACGGAATGTTCCATTTCGTTAATACCCACTACCCGCAAACGCAAAGGGCATACTCGATTCGCTAGTAGGTATAAGGATTTGTTTCCAGGATCAACCCCAGGACGATGTCAGGATTCGCGGTGCCGACTTTCAAGAAATTGCTGAGGTTGCCCAAAGCATTACGCCTTCATGAAAGTAAATATTTGCAGTGCGCTTCATAAAAGCTGTGTTTTCCAGCTAATATGAAAAGATTTCGCTTTGACAAGCACTTCCTCAATTACCAACTAGCCCAGCGAGCAGCTTACAAGGAAGCACCACAAGTTATGTAGGTGCAAAATTCGCTGCCCCATGCAACAGCAATTGAGACTCGCAGTGACGGGTCCTCGGGGCAGGTAATGGGTGCAAAGCCATTAGCGTTCAATTTCCAGTCTGAAAGGTAAAAACTAAGCGGGCTGCAAATTAACCTGGAACAGCCACCCACTTTCTAAGCGAACACGAGCCGCTCGTGGAAGGGCAAACTTTATGTTCTGTATGGCAAAGTTTGCTGCAATACGAAGATACATAGCGGCGAACTTTAAAAAAAATCATAAAATATATAGCAAACTTTTAGGCTGGCGATCCGATTTTGCCCTGCAGTTATTAGTTTTCTATGAACTAATTACATTTTAAATTACTGAATATTTGCTTGAAACGGCTTATAATTTACTACCTTAATTTTTGTATCTTTTCCTCTTTGCATTGGGAAGAACAAATTATGTTGTGCAATTTTAGGTTCGATTTGAGTTTTCATTTCAGGAACTTCTGCGCCAGGTGTTTGTTTGTCGGGTTATTGAAATACTTTGCAGTACTGTATCTGTGTGTCGCCTTCGATACTTGGCCCTCCCACCTGCGGTTGGCTCATCCGTGCAAAATAGAATTTTCGTGGGTGGCCAGGACGAGTCCGATTGACACGGCGTTCGGAGAGCATTGCTTATTAAAACCACAGGACGAGTACAACGTGAATATTCCTTTATTTGAAATATGCATTTAAGGTAGCTTAGCATACGAAAAACACAAACACCAGTGCCGCTATCCGACCCAGTAACCCGCCCGCCCAGCAATCTCGTCCCAAAAACGACACTGGAAAATTCACAGACACGTAGAGATGAAGTTCCTTGTTTTTTCTTATCGATGGGTGACTAAAGGGAGCTCAAATGCTTGGCATTCTCGTTGAGACAACTACAAACCCAGAAGAAAAAACAAATAGGAGCAATAAAAACTAAGAAAACCCAAGCTCGGACCACAACCGCAGCCGCAACATCACATCGCACTAGTAAACTATGCAGATTGGCCGCACATCGATTTACGCCCAGATCCTCCGCACCGCCAGCCGCGTCAGGAGCAGCATCATCGGCGTCGCCATCGGCAGGCGGAAACCCATCCAGTGCCACTGGGCCAATGCCGCAGCGGCGTCGTGGGCGCAGATGTTCTGGAGGACGGCACAGTTCCTGAAGTGCTTCTCATCGGACAGCATTTTGGCCGTTTCGCGGGCAAACTCCGCCGAGTTCTTGTAGCACTTGTAGCGGGCACTGTTGTAGATGCAGTTCTCGTACGCGTAGCGGGCACTGTAAAATGTTGGAGTACCAGAAACTTGATTGATATCGATTCTCGGGTCAAACATGTCATTCGCCACATTCGGTTGCCTTGGCCACAGCGCAATTGGTTGGTAATCGAAAAAAGGGCTCAGATGGTTCAAAGGAAAACTGTGCAATACCAAAAGCCGTTAAAAGTCTGATAATAGCACAAGACAAATGAAGAGATGTGCTATTGTTAAGTCAAGATGGCTGCCCATAAAGGCCTAACTATAAAGTAAATTGGGTGACAACACTTACTGGAAATATTTAATTAAATGTGGCAAAGAATTTAACATGCTGGATGAAAAAATAGTTAGATCTACAAAAGCTTTTTCTACTTCATGCTTTGCAATTTAAATTGTAAAGACCTTTTTAAGCTAATTTTTCTAAATGATATGATCAATATTCTTACAGGTGAACAAATAACAAGTAGCAATCAAGTAGCAATTGAAAAAAATCGTGTTTATAGTTATAAACATGAAAGTCGACTAAAAGTTTTGAAATTATTTGAAGAATATTGACATTTCGATAACAGGAACATGGAATGATGGGAACATCTTAAGTCAAACTTACCAGCAGAATTCGAGGAACTTTTCGCTGGCGTTGCGCCTTTCATCGTGCACCTCTTCACTAAGGATGTTCTCGAACTCGGACGTGCAGGTGACCCAGTCCAGTTGGATGTACGCAAAGCAGTCCTTGTGCCTCAGGTAGTCTGCAAGCAGGCGGTAAAGAGTGCTTCAGATTCATGTATAAATAACGCTCCTTTTGCTCGTGCACTTTTAATGCTTGTCAAGTTGGGATTTTGGGGCCATTGTTTTTGGAGCCCTTGCGGGGGGCTTTTATCCTTAATCTGCGGGGTTTTGTGTACTGTGAGAAATGCGTGTGTGTTCCCGACACCCGGACGCCAGTGGGCATCCTTGTTTCTGTGTGTACTCGTAGATGTGTGCCAGCTTGCCAAATTGATTTTCGAGCGTTTCGAAAAGGAAACCTCTTAAATTTGGCAAAAACTTACCCCGCTGGAAGTCCGCGTCGCCGCAGAACTTGTAGAAAAATCGTCGAGCACCCTCCACATTATTCTTAAACGTGCCCAGCTTCCGATCGTCCAGGCAACGCTTCGAGTAAGTATCGAAGCACCTCATGCCACGGTTGAATATGCTGCAATATGTAATTCGATTTGAGCCAGGGACAATCGAGTGAGGTCTAATTGAGTGCCACTCATGTTGCCTCTCCGGTGCCACAGCTAATTTATGTACATGTATATGAATAAAATGTCTCCCACTTAAATGCTTTAATGTTTTGAAATTACCCTAAACCTAGCTACCTAAAAACATGAAGTCCATGTTTCCTAAAACTGCAATATACTTATATTTTTTTATCAGAAGTTCCATATTGCTGATTAAATTCATAAGATATACCGCATGTTACGGACTGTTCTAAATAATTATTTACTAGAAAATGCTGCCATTCTTGTAATAAATATATTTTATTGAACCAAGTTATAATTTTAGCCTGGCTAGAACTCAGTTTTCTATCGTTATCAATGGTCTGCAAATAATCAAATGACACTGCATTTGAATTTGATTTGCGCGCTTTGCAATGCACGAAATTCAATTAACCATTCACTTTGAGTGCAGTACTGATAAAAAAACTAATCGTACAAAAGAAATGTGCTTTGATTATCATCGACGGTCACCGGGAATTATTAGAAGAGCACTTCAATTAGTGAACTTATGACCCACTAATGCCAAATGCTGCTTAGTTATTCGCCATTTGAAGTATGAATAATTAATTATCGTCGCGGTTTTCAATGTTCTTAGCTTCTGGCGGTTTTAATATGAAATGCTTCCCAGGAAACTAATCACAAATAGTAATATACTGTAGTGGCTTCTTCGTAAATCTGCCTTCACCCGAGGAATTATATACAAGCATCTAACTTTGCCCGTTGAAGGCGTATTAATTCCGAAAGTCTGTAATTTATGTTTGGCACTTGAAGCCGGCATAATTAATCATCTCCTTGGAGAGGCGGCAAAAAAGGGCTTGCCATTATGAAATTCCCTGTAGAACTTCTGCTCCGTGCGGCACCAGAGAAATATGAATAAATTGCCGAATGGGCCACAATCCATAATGTATATTCGCATTTTTGTTCGCACTCGCTATTGCAAATTGTTCCCTACTTGCACTTGGCGGTGATCTCCTTTTTGCTGATGACGATTTTCGTGTTCTGCAGGAAGTCCATTAGATGCGGCGGCAGATCCTTGAAGCACTCATCAACCATTTTCTGTGTGCTGCCGCATTCCTCGCCCGTGGCCACCGTCGACTCCGATATATTGCCTTCGTTCTGGGCCAGGACCACGGTGGCCAGATGGAGCAAGACGACAAAGTAAATTAAAATCACACTGCACAGTGAGCTTCTCACGCACATCCTCGAAGGACACTTGTTGCCACAAATCGACTGATGGGATACTAATTGGGCCGTTTCTCCGCTATGCTGGGCAAACGAACCGCACGAAAGCTAACACCGCACTGAAGCGAACAACCGCAAGGAAATCCTATAAAAAGAATTTCCAAATCAGGACCTCTGTTAAGTCGCTGTTAATCCAATGTTAGGTGCAACGCATGCGCAGTTTCGATGCCAGCACGTGCATCGTCCTTTGTTTACCATACAAAGACAGCCGACTTTTTAACAGGTAGACAGACCCGCCGCCACAGAAGATGGAGCTCCCCATAAATTGGCGTCCGCTCCAGCGATGCCAGGTGTGGATGGAGCCGCAGTGCTCCCTTCAGTATGAGTTTAAGTGATTGATTGTCCTGAAGCGTTGCTGGATGCGTTGGCATACCCAACCAATGAACACTGGTTTTAAGTTAATTAAGTCACCTGTACGACATACACTCCTCCGGGTGTAGTATTTCGCAAATGGAATATACGGAATGCCAAGGCCAGGTTTCGTATTGTTTGGAATTCGGCAAGTCCAATAAAGAAACCCAACACGACTTCTCTTAGTCCCACATCCACACGGTAGAATGTATAATTACAGCTCTGTATTTATAACAAGCTACCTTTGACATTCAAATTTAGATTTTTGCTTTACTTTTCGTTGAACTTCTTGTGATATATACCAATAGATGACTTGGTGTCCTCTTAAAGTCTTACTTTTTATTCAAGGGCCTTCGACTAGTTCGCTTTAAGCTCACGCCAATATTAAGCATTCATTTACATCTGCCGCAATATTTTATTCATATGCAGCTAACTTTCACGCACATAAATCAGTCAGTGTCAATAAGTTTCTGGGCCAACGAGCAGTAGGCGGCCCAAAAAGCACTGGACTTTAATTATTCAGCATGCAAAAATTTCGAAAATAATGTAATTAGTGCGAATCGAATCATATTGGTTGATGATTGCCTACAAAACGTGATTGTGAACGCGAAAAACTGTTCGTATTCAGCATCAAGTGACATTATTTTGTTAAGCAAAAGAAAATAATTTGAATTTTCCGCCACACACACTTTATTAATCACACGCTTTAAGGTCCTATATCAACAAAAACACAGATTATTATACCCGTTACTCGTAGAGTAAAAGGGTATACTAGATTAGTTGAAAAGTATGTAACAGGCAGAAGGAAGCGTTTCCGACCATATAAAGTATCAATATTCTTGATCACGATCAATAGCCGAGTCGATCTGGCCATGTCCGTCTCTTTCTTTTTTTTAATTTTTCTAATGTGATAATATTGTAGAAATTAAAAAAATAAGTAAAAAATGTCCCTAGGCTGAAATTCTAAAGTCCATAACTCAACTTATATTATTCGGATTTTGAAGTGGTATACCTCCAAATGTTTCTGAAGTAATTCTCTAAAAATCTGCATTCAAATTTAGAATTAAATTTTTTTTAATTTTTTTGTAATTTTTCTGATGTTATGATATTGTAGAAATTCAACAAAATTAAATAATGTCTCTAGGCTGAAGTTCTAAAGTCCATAACTCAACTTATATTATTCGGATTTTTAAGTGGCATACCTCTAAATGTTTCTGAAGTAATTCTCTAAAAACGTGCATTCAAATTTAGAAATTAATTTTTTTTTTTTTTTTTGTCATTTTTTCATGTGATGATTTTGGAGAAATTCAAAAAAATTAAAAAATGTCCCAAAGCCGAAGTTCTAAACTCCATAACTCAACTTATCTTAATCGGATTTTAAAGTGGCATACCTCTAAATTTTTCTGGCGCCATTCTCTAAATATCTGCATTCAAATTTAGAAATTTATTTTTTTTCAATTTTTATGTCATTTTTTCATGTGATGATTTTGGAGAAATTCAAAAAAATTAAAAAATTTCCCAAAGCCGAAGTTTTAACTCCATAACTCAACTTATCTTAATCGGATTTTGAAGTGGCATACCTCTAAATGTTTCTGACGCAATTCTCTAAATATCTGCATTCAAATTTAGAAATTTATTTTTTTTTTTAATTTTTTTGTCATTTTTTCATGTGATGATTTTGGAGAAATTCAAAAAAATTAAAAAATGTCCCAAAGCCGAAGTTCTAAAAACCATAACTCAACTTATCTTAATCGGATTTTGAAGTGGCATACCTCTAAATGTTTCTGGCGCAATTCTCTAAATATCTGCATTCAAATTTAGAAATTTATTTTTTTTTAATTTTTTGTCATTTTTTCATGTGATGATGTTGGAGAAATTCCAAAAAATTAAAAAATGTCCCAAAGCCGAAGTTCTAAACTACATAACTCAACTTATCTTAATCGGATTTTAAAGTGGCATACCTCTAAATGTTTCTGACGCAATTCTCTAAATATCTGCATTCAAATTTTTCAATTTTTTTTTTTGTAATTTTTCTGATGTATGTAATGTAGTAGAAATTAAAAAAAAATAAGAAATGGCCCAGGGCTGAAGTTTTAAGCACAACTTATGTTAATCGAATGTTGAAGTGGAATTCCTCTAAATGTTTCATGCACAATTCTATAAAAATCTGCATTAAATTTTAGAAATTCTTTTTTTTAATTTTTTTGATGTATGATGTTGTAGAACACACTTTTAAACAATTTTTAAGTTTTTTTTTCATTTTATTAATTTTACCCCAATTTCTACCGATATTCCAGAAAATGTGGAAATTTCTCAGTTGCACTAGCTGAGTAACGGGTATCTGATAGTCGGGGAACTCGACTATAGAAATCTTTCTTGATTTTTTATAAACATTTATTTATGCAAAAAGTTATACATAATCGTACATATGTGCATACACTCGTATATGTATATGCATTTAATTACATGTGCATTCTTTATATATATTATTAGGTTTTGAACATATGGATTACCTCACAAAATATCAATGATTTCCTTCTCAAATTATGAAGTTAAAATTATACAATGCTGGCAATGGAGATGAATGATGTTTTTAATGCGATGTTAGGGGCACAGCATACGATTTATGTAATGCGAATAAAACTAGACGATTCTTTCTTTCTGTTATTCAATTATCGAAAGAATTACATTTTCATCGTGTTAAAATTAATTCAGAACTCATCATAAGCAAGGTTTGCTACGATTGCACGATTGCCGTCATTATCAATAAAAGTTATACATTATGATTATGATTTATTAACATTAAAAGATTAGTCAACTCCCACGCGGTTGAACATCGTCTTGTTTCTGAGTATAAGTCTCACATTTCGCAGAATAATTTCAACAGAGTTTCTGTATACTTTGCATTTGTTTTTAAATTTAATTTTCATTTTGATTCGTGCCAATTTTACAACTTGTTTAAGGCACATATTAATAAGATTTGCTTTTCTCAACAAAATTTAATGCAAATTCTTTAATTTAAAATAAAGTTTGCAACAACTTTGCGTTGGTTGCTTTGTACCATTAATTAAATGCAATTTACTTTCGCTTTCTAGTTTTGTTCTGTGCTAATTTTTCTGCATTTCTTTTATTTCATTCACTATTATAAAATAGATACATTATTGCCATTACTGCAGGCGTGATATTTATTTTAAATTAAAGAATTCTCTTTTTGTTGTGGCCATCGCTTTCGAAGAACAATTATTCGTTTAAAAAAAGTGAGTTTGTGTTTATTTCTGCATATAATACATTAGCTTTAAAATATTACAAATAATTTAAGTTTAGCGTTTAGTTGTACATTATGAATGCTCGATGCTATTATCATAATATATGTTTGTTTCATTAACTAAATATGGCTGTTAAATGTGTTATATATGTTGTTTCTGTTTCGCCCCCACTTACTTTTCACACAATCAATTTGAAGTGGGGTACGAAATCTATACATAAAATATAGATATGCAATAACATAATCAAAAAATACTTCATTAACAAGAATTAGCGTCAGTTTAACAAAAATAGATTATGCTTAATCGAGGGGTGAAAATCTATATCCGACACAATAAGGATTTGAATAGATCTCTTGCACAATCCATTAAAAGGATTACAATGAAAGGGGTAAAGATTCATTTTTGCAATTTGAGTTAAAAGGGCAGATTTTAAAAAAATTAAAACAGTTTTTGTTGGTTGGGTAGAGTTTCTTGGATGAGATTCCGTTAACATGATTTTCTTAGATTTTTGTTGTTTGGGGTTTTTTTTTGGGAGTTATTATATACAGACTTGTATATGCATTTGGATGTATATATTTAAATATATATATATATATATATGTATATGTTTGCATTAAGTATGTTTTTGTTCGTTGAACTTTTACACTAAGAACTAACTTGTATTTTCCTTTAGATTATGATAATTAAACTAAGCTCTATGTTTGATTCTCTTATCAATTGTTTGCTTAATTGCCTTGTTTTGTTGCTGGCAAAACGTAACAGTTTAATGGCCACAAGATTCAATACATACTGATGTTGCTGCTGTTGCTTTTGCTGTTGCTGATGCTGTTGCTGATGCTGTTGCTGATGCTGTTGCTGTTACTGATGCTTTTGCTGTTGTGCTGTTGCAGGTGTTGATGTGCTGCATCTGCCGCATCTGCTGCTCATGTGGCAAATAAGTTCAGAGTTCAGAGTTCGGGGTTCAGTGTTTTAGTAGTTGTGCAAGTGACATGTGGTGGCTCAGATTTCTGGCTTTTGGTTACGGTTTTCTTTTTCTTTTTTTTTTGTTTTGTTAGCTTCAAGTAAGCACATTCACAACACACACTTGGCTCTGCTTTCGGCCTGGCTGGGATGGCTGGTATGGTTGGTATGGCTGGGATAGCTGGGATGCTGCTGCTGCTCTGATTCCGTGCTCATCTAGGGCAGGCGATGGATTCATGGTTCATGGCGGATGTAGGAGCGGATTGGTAGTGTGTTTAGGATTTGTTTTTGTTTTAGTTTCCGTTGGATTTTTTATTGGAATATTTATATATCGTTTGGAAGTATATATTTATTTTATTTAAGATAAACGTTTGTGAGTATGTCAGTTATTGTTGTTTGGATTGTTTTAGTTAGCATGAAAAGAGAGATATTCATAGAAGTGGAAATAGAGTTTCGATTAATATATTATGGTTAGCAGTTAGTTTTTAATGTAATAATCCTAGGTTAAGCGAGTTACGATCGCAAAAAGTTACCAGACACTTATTTAAGATTTACACAATCAGTGGTGCTCACGAAAACATGCTTATTACAAAATTTGTTGATCCAATGTTTAGTAACTTTTTGCTGAATGCCATCCGCTATTCATTAGATGCGGTCAACATTTTTTGACTTTAATAAAGACAAACACATACATTATTATCATTAGAGTTTCATTGACAGGATATTAAATTATTTTATAGAAAATTTTAGATAGTGCAAATGTTTTTGTGTTTTCAGACGTTATTTGATGCAACATTTTGTGGTTATTGAATTCGTTCTTTGTTTTAAATTTACAAGAACACGATGTTTTTTTTTCCATTTTCGATTAATCTTTTGCTAGATTTCATTTGTTTGTTTTTGGTTAACTTGGCCTTTGGTTAGTTTTAATTAGCAATAGTATTACATCACAATTTTTGGGTATTGTTTGCTAATAAATAAATGTTTGTACCGTTTAATGGTTTTAATATGCTAGTTTTATATTTACCACATAATATTTAGGGGAAAACTAAAGTAAACAAAAAGATTACACAAAATTGCAGGCGCATAAGCTTTCAAGTCAGATTGGGTTCTTTTTCAAGAATATTGCACAAATAAAGTAGTTATAAAGAAGCGTTATATACACATTTAATTTTACAAAAATGCTGTCAGTTTCTCCGTTTGGAAAAGATATTTTGTTTATAAATAATTTTATAAATAATTGACTTTTTTTAAAGAAAAAACACTCAGTTCTTACTAATTATTTTGGATAATGAAGGAGAGGGACTTGAAGAATTGAATTCCTTTTTGTTTATTATAAAGCAGATGCCAATGCAATTTCATGAGGGTTGGAGTTATACAAGTTATGTAGATAACTAACTAGTCTAGAGATCAATTATTCATAGACAGAAAAATCCGCAACCCATAAGCTTAAAGATTAAGTGTGGTAAGTACACATAGATACGTGTATCAGATATGCAGATACACGCTTCATAGGATTCATAAGTATTATTGCATATGCCATAGCACTTGTGGTGGTATCTTGGTAGTAGTTGGTTGTTTGGTTGGTGGATAGTTTGGTTGGTTGGTTGGTTGATTGATTGGTTGATTGATTGCTTGATTGGTTGGTCTGGTTGTCGGTTGCGTTGGTGGGATTAATGATCAATCGAGGAGTGGGTGGTAAGCATAGAGTTATGCCCGAAGGACGTGTGTGGGTGAGGGTTTTATGTATAAATGCGGTTGTGTCTGGTTTCTATAGTTAAGTTCTCTTAGTCACTAGAGTTGCAAACAAACAAAGTGAAGTGTTTATTAATATATCTGATCAATGAGTTATGTGTGACGACTGAATACGAGAAATAAATATCTCTATTTATTCGTTGGGTGTTAAGTTTGGAAAGCGTTAGATATTGGTTTCAATTTCATTTAGGAGAATTCTGAAAGAAGTCAAGTTCGTGGATCAATAAAGAATCATAAGACTTGGTAAGGATTTTTTTTCTTTGTTTTTGTTGTGTTCATTTTTTTAAGGTTTCTGTTTTTACTTCAACAAAAATCATTGATCTTTATTTCTTTGTGGTACACTTTCGGTTCAATTGCAACATTTACATTCGAACGCATAATACAAAATAATCATATAATCTTAAACGACTAAACAGGGGACTTATTCCTAAGATACACATGTAAAATTCATATCTCGTAAAGAGCGTTTTTAAATAGGGTATATGGCTTATCCAACAGTAATACAAATAAAATCTACTAAAATGTTCATTTTTTTGTTTGTTTTCTTTTCAAACTTTTTTTTTTCTTGAGTGTATGTAAAACATCAAAGGCACAAGTCAACGTGAAAACAAAGGAAAACTAATATAAAAATTTGTGTATAAATATACTCGTATCAACTGATAATAAACTCTTCATCTTCAGCTTAAAAATGGACTGATAGATTTTGCATGTGTCTGTACTTTCGTTTTATCAAAATTTTTTTTGTTTGTAGTTTCAAAACTCGCATTCGAAATAAAATGCAACGCGTTCTGGAAGCTCATCTGCATTTTATTTCGAGTATAAGATAACACATAAAGAAAATAATAGTTTGATAAAATAAATAAAGGAGTAGAAACACAACTAACCTGTGGAGGCGGTGCGCATGAAAATTCTTTTTCAGAACCCTGATCAGGGCAGAGCGGCCAGGCCAGGCCAACGTTTCCGGCCAGGTTTCATCGGATATACAGTGGTACAGTGGATTTGGGGTTGGATTACGGATGGTCAGTTATGAGCAGCATTGGTATCAAAATAAATAGCAAACAAAATTTTAAATAATTGAACTAAAGTGATCGGTTGCCTGGTGAACGCAATCAAACGGGCAGACAAACACAATCCTTCGATTTCCGTTGTTCTTAAATGGTTTCTTTCCTTTTTCGTACAAATATTGATATTAAAAGTGGTAAAGTTGCTTTCGCCGATATGGTGTGATTTAAAGTGTTACATTCTGAGTTTATAGTGCTTCGCTTATCCCGATTCACTATGCATTGTATTTACTGTATCTCAATGAAACCCGCCGGCTTGGCTGGCACTCCGACCGTTGCTCGCTGATAGGGATGCTCGCGGTTAGTCGCCAAACGACGCTGCTGCTTAATGGCGCCTACTAAAATATACGATACGATACATGTAGATATGGGTTTGCATATAGGTTGCATATGTATAAATAGATGTGAACATCGTCGCTACAGGGTACAACTTAGGGCTAATAGATATTGCATACATCCTTACATCTACCATTTGCTTGCTCAAACTGAAGCTGTGCTGCCTTTGCTGGAAGCCAATTGCCAACTGAGGGGGAATTATTGACCTGTTTTTCGGTATTCTGCATTCTTTTACTTTGTAACATTTAAATTCTCTGCTTCTTTGGAATGAGTCGTTCATACATATATGCGCTTGTGTATTCGATATTTGATCTGATTTTGATTTTTTTCTTTTTTGGATTTGGCTGCAAAATAAGTGATTTTCAAGCCGCTAAGCCTAGGTAATTCGTATCCAGCTCATTGCTAGATGTTCCAGAAATGATTATTCTGTCCAATCATATTATTTTTGCATTTTGTTCCTCCAGCTTGCTGACTAGTCGTGCATTCAATTGATTCTGGATAATGGTTTCTGTTCTTGGACGGCTGCCTTTGAGCCTCGACTAAACTTAGAACTAACTGAAGATATTATTTAAGCACCAACTTGATTCAAGGCTCCTGTCCACTAAGAGTTATATATAAATATATGTGTATATATATAAAAAAAGCTTTTCTGCAATTCTGTTCAAAGTATACGGTTTTGACGAGAAATGGCACTGGCTGGAAAAATTGAAACGGTTTCCTTTTCGCTCTTCGTTAGGTACATTTGTGCATAAATACTGTCCCCCCATCGCAACACTCACTACATAAACTACATAAAAAACAGACACTTAACTAGATTGCACTTAAAACTCGACCCTCATACCAAAAAAACTAAAAAAAATAGGGTTATTAATCAGAAGAGAAAATTATGAAGTTTAGCCCTCTTTAATTTGAATACTCATCGGTTCCAAAAACGAAAATCAACAACTTGCTTTGGATGCCGCTGTTGTTGTTGTTCTCAACTAGAATATACTCATATAAAAATGTTTCGGGTGGAAAATCATATATGTAGGTTATAGTTTAAGATTAAAGCAACTACAATTTAAGGGCCTAAAAATCACTTATTTTTGCCAATATTGCATATTGCAGAAATGTGTTGCATTGCGGCCTAGAATCTAATAAACAATATAAAAAGCAAATTCATTGTCGAGCAATAATTTGTTGTAGATTAATTCTTTGCTTGTATTTTCTTGAGTATTTCTGTTTTCCTGTTTGTTGTGCCGTTTTACTCTTATTATGTTTTTGTCTCTAGGTAAATATTAAATTTTAAAAATATATACAGTCTATACATTTATGTGCGTGTGTATAATTCTGTTTCAGTTTGTGTGTGACTGTAACTTCATAACTTTAAGCTAAACATTTTATGTGGGGTTTTCCTCTACAAATCGTTTCTGTTTTCTTGGTTTTGTTCAAGGGAAAAATAATTGAGAGTGAGAAAAAGAAGTTCAAAAGACGGAGCCGGCATGCATATATCGACCAACTGCAAATATTTATGTTTATAACAAATATATAAGATAAAATAGACTTTGGATAAAAATAATGAAGGTATTGTTTAATTCTGTTAGCTTTGGTTAGCATATCATTATTATTGTGAATTCTTAAAGGAAAGAGCAAGGTTAAGAAGCGTGAAAAAATCTCATTGCATACTTCATGGCACTGAACGAAAATAGTAATTGTGTTAGATATTCATGTAGAATACAGAAAGAGTGAACATGCTGCCTTGTTTATGCGATTTGTAAATATTCTTTATCCTTATCAACTGAGGGGCCAATTAAATTGGAATTCCCTTGTAAGATGAAGAACACACACAACTTCGTAACTGCAGCAAGTCCAAACTGTAGCCTGCTATGTGAGAACTTAAAACAAATGCAAGCTCCTAATGATTAAATGCCAAATCTATATCTTTTACATGACAATTAAGCAAGACAAAACAATTGTTAAAAAAATATATATAAATTATTCTATATGCTTGAGCTCGCCGACTCTGCTGGGCTGTCATAGCAAACTCAATCGATTGCACTTGGTTAATGTGTTAAGTGGAAAAACAAACCTACTGGGCGTATGCGCAACGTGTACATTGTATTTCTAGTGTGTGTTAAATGTTGTGTGCTTTTCTGGCGATTAGCTGCTATATTATTGCTCGCAATTCAACTCGCATCTAAACCCTCTATTCATGTGGCTACATATGTGTCTTCTTAGACGACTAACTTCTGCCTAGATTGATGAATGATGATTCGCTTAGTGTTTTTTTTTTTTTTTTGACTTTCGTGTTGTGTTGGGGGTTGTGTGTATGTATGAGCATAAATCATAAATCGATATAGAGATAGCAATGGAACAGAGTGATTCGGATATGTGAGATATGTGATTATCTGGCAAACAACCCACCGCTATGATCAGCATACTCCGTGAGCAGAGGATTGCCGGCTAGGGCGGCGTAGTTCGCATAATCGTACGGTGCGAAGATCATTCCATGGCCGGTCTGGTCGAAGGCGGCTGTCGGAGCTGCCTGGGCGGACAATATGCTGGCCGCCGTTGTGGGTACGGTCATCCGGGGATTCAGGATCAATGGGGCGCCCAGCGGGGCGGTGGCGGGGGCACGGATCTGGGCGGCAAGGCCGGGCAGGCCGGTGGACGTCAGCAGGCGGCTATCAGAGGCGGCAACCAGGCGGCGCCACTCCTCATCGCACACTGCGGGATACAGATAAGAAGCAGAGCCAACGCATGAGAAAGCTGGTCGTCGAACACATAAATCAAATATAAAATAAAGAAATGTAAATCGAATTTGAATCAGTTTGGTTTCGTTAACGGTTCAGTTTTGCAAATCGTTAATGGTTAGATCCTCGCTCATTCGATTTTAGCTGCTGGTTAACGTTGTTATCATTTTTATCTTGCTTTTTTTTTGTTTTTTGTTTTTTGATTTTTAGCTCTGTCTGAGTGGAGATCGGGTTAGGTTATTTGGTTGGTTTTAGATGGATAATTGATAAAGAGAGGCTTTTGGTTGACATACCTGCGACAGATTTCGCTGTTGTGTCCCTATAAGTGCCATTAATAATCGCCAATTCCATAAGTTGACGTTTCTTTAGCTCATCTTCGCCTTCGGCTTGCTGTTAGTACGAGTGTATGTTTTTGTGTTTTTTGTTTTGGTTTTGGTTTTGGTTTTGAGGGTTTTAATGTATTAAACGGAATACATTAAAGCAGATTAGGTTTTGTTGGTAGAGAGAATGAGAAATAATACAAGAAAATTCATTATTAATTATATTGGTTAACATTCAATTCAGTTTAGCTGAGAAATCATTTAATTTATTATTGATGTAACATAGAAAAAGGAGTTGGGATAGGCAACACGCATTCGATTTAATTGTTTCTTGTTTACTTTCTCTATTTACTTTAAGCTCTTTCGCGGGCGCATTATGAACTTTAAATTAGGCAAATATCAGTTTACTTTTGGCTTTTCTGAAGGGCTCTCTTAGGGTTCGTTAAAACCACTCGACAAACACTCACCGGCACGAGCAACTTCTGTACTTCAGCTACGGCCTGGGCCAACTTAACTGTGGCACGGTTCTCGGTGTCCTCGACGGTTATCAGGACATGCAGGTCATCGGACAGATGCTCCCAGTTGGGCTTGCCACGGTTGGCGTCCTCCTGAAATGGGGAGCGAAAAGCTTTATATAAATGTCTACTACATTTTTACCTAAGTACCGAGAAGAAGCTAATGACCTTCTTAAGCACAAAGTATCTTCATTTTTCACATTGAGTTTTCTGATTAAAGCATGCAAGCAATACAACGGCAAATTTTTAATATTACAAAATATTTTTTGGTTTGCTCAGTGATTCAATCGCTTCGCCTTCTTCTTGCTCTTTTAAATATGTGAACTATTTAAAACTGCGAACAACGAAATGCGAATTTATTCGAAACTGTGCTAATGGGCGCGGAACAATTAATAGTGGGCGAATTCCGACACACTTAAAACATTATTGCCATTTTTCATTTCACCGATGTTATTACTTGTGGCTAGAAGCGTTGTGGCGAACGTGCTTGAACTATAATAAATACTTCTGCTTCTCCTCCTGCAACTCAGTTGGTGAGCCACAATTTATAATTAATTAGGATCAAATTGGATAGAAATTCTTTTGAAGTCGTAGTCGTCCAGTGCTAGAAACAGCAAATTAACAACTGTCAAGTTGGCCAATGTACGAGTGCCGGACAAAGTTTTGTCATCAGGAATCGAGAAGAGCGACCTTTTCGGATGAGTGGCCATGCAGAAGACACACAGAAAACCTGAGCAAATGTAAAGAGGGGTCGGTCAGTCTCACCTCACGAAAACCATGCACTGTGACTAATTTTTGTATTTTTTCTGGCTGTCAGGTCTATTTCTATCCGCAAAATGCAAGTAAACTGAGCATTTCTATTCTTTCGGTTTTCACTTTTGTCGCAGGCGAACATCATTCGGTTCGCGATGAGTCAGACATTTTGTGTGGGAGTTCGCTCATTCATTTCTGCCAAATTATCAAAGTATTGCATGAAAATTGCGAATTTGAAAAACTTTCCTGTCTGCGTGCCGCTCATTTGGCCGGCCACATTTATGAATTACAAAAATACATTTAATCGTCTCGAGACACTTGATTCACTTTGCTTTCTTTCCTCCGCATTTCACATGCTTTTTTCGTCTGGCGAAATTAAATCATCAGCGCATTTTGAGTGACAAGACACCCAAATATGTACGAGTATAAGAATATATTTTCGACAATTTGCTATCTTACGTTTGGACTTAGAGTTAACCTTAAAGATTTGTATGCTAGCTTCGTTAAGGAGATTAAAATTTAATTATATATACTGTTCAACGCTTAATTAAGTGTTTCTTACAAAATGTTTGAAAATTAGAATCGAATTGCTAATTACTTTACGGAAGCCAACCATGTGGTAATCATACCCAGAATTAACAACTCATACACACAAAAGAGGGGCACATTTTTCGCCCCATTATAAAGACTAATTCCCATTTGGCACGGAAAGCGACTGTCAACCGAATTTTCATATCCAAGCATACCACATTCGCGGCACTATTTACGATAATTAAAAATGAAATTGAAGTGCTCGTCTTCGGAATGTGCACTGAAATGTGTGTCCGCGTCCGCAGTAATGCCCTGGTTTCCTGCCAAACCATTGGGAATTCGAAATCCACTCGATCGTGCGATGCACTCACCTTCTTCTTGTCGCGCATGGAACCCTTGCCGCGGACCATGATCTTGCAACCGGTCTCCTGCTCCAATTGCTTGGCGGTCATGCCACGCGGTCCCAAAATGCGGCCGACAAAGTTGAACTGGAATGAAAATGAAATTGGAGAGGAGATATAAATTAGACGGGCGAAATTAGAGGAAATCATTAGCGAATCAACATACGACAATCTAATTAACTCACTAGCTTGGGTCTAAAGTTCAATGTTTCTATCTCTTTTTTTTTTTTGGCAAATTTAAAACGCATTAGATCGGCGCGTGACTCAGGATGCATAAATGCCAGGCGGCCAGATCCGCTCAAAGTCAAAGTTATTAAAGCGTATGACGCTGGTCAGATTCGGTTCGTTGAAGGCTGGAGTCACCCACAATCCACAATCCACAATCCACAGGCCACGGCATTTGGCCACAACAATGGGCAACCGAACGTAATATGACCCGCGGCGACACGCCTGAATTTGGCACGATAAACCAATCACCAATCAGCCAGATAGACTCAAAGCTCTTTGTGCATATAGCCAAATGCAGTCAGTCGGTTAGCAAATCAGTTGGTGGCACTCAGAAAATGAATCTTGTCAATAATTGGGAGCTAGAGGTCGGAGATTAAGCGGAATAAATGGGATATTGCTGAAGATTACTCCTTAGGTAGGTTGAAAAAGCAAAACCATATGGCTTGCAAAGTATGAATTCTTAATTTAATGCTAACATATTTCTTTCTGTGTAGCTGGCGGCGACATTCAAAAGAATTTTGCTTAAACTATTAGCGGAGCGTGCAAAAATCTTTTGACGCGCTTGTCGATGATGATGGACGGGACGTGCCTGGCATGTTGGCCAACAACATGCCCATGTCCAAACCATCGAAGTGGTGACCCCAACCGTAAGCTGCCGCCATGGCGCCCAATTATCATATACTTTGGTTAGATTGCAACAACCAAGCCGGACCGCAGGCAGGCCGATAAATTAGATTTATTGGCCAGATCAAAAGCATTTCCATTTGAGTTATTGTAAATTGCTGGCTAAACTAGTTCTGGTCTCGCCCCGGGGCACGAACGTAACCCACCCACCCACATTCAACTGGAGACCCATTGCGAATGCGATGATGTGATGGGATGTGAGATATGGGGATGTTAAGTGCACAGCGATGCGATCATCGACAGCAGACAGCCGTCGGCAACAGTTAACCAACGCCAAAGTGGCTTGAAAACAGCAGCAGCAGCAGCAGCAGCTGTTGTCAGTCAGTACGAATGTATCTGTATCTGTAACTGAGAGACTGCATCTGCAACTGAAACTGCACAGCAAACTGAAACAGCAGCAGCAGCATCAGCAGCAATCGCAACCGACAGTGCTGCGATCGAATCAATTGAAAATTGCCGCAAAGAATGCAGTTAATGCCTAATGGCTCAGGCAATTTTAATTAAATTTTGCGCAAAAACCATTTAACCTCCATGGAAGTCCAAACAAAATGTGGCCAAACTATGGCGAGAAAGTTGCTAAAACCAAATAAAAGGAAATGTTGCTGCAATGCCACCACATACATGTGTGTATGTATGTGTGCGCAAAATGAATTACGCTGCCCAAGAAAACATTTGCATTACTTATCGCCCCCGTATCAGTTGCTTAATTAAAAATCCCTGGCTCAGCTCCATGTTTGCACAAGTGATCTCTTCCATTTGCCATTAAGCGGAAATTAAAAACCATTTTCCCCCCACGCATGCAGCGCTCAAAAGATTCCACATACGCCGCGTTGCACCGCCACTTGCGCTCTACAAATATTGAGAAATGCCAAACAAATACGAGTGGCCAAATAAATTATAAATGATTGCGTTTCAAGGATTTCCCTCTGCCCTTTTGTTTTTTAGAGTTTGTGGGGGAGCTTAAACAGAGTGGCAGTTTTCCATAAAACAAAAAAAAAACTCGTGAGAGGAGCAATAAAGATTAAGAATGTAGCACTTGAACGTAATAATCATTACCTTGTGTCTTAATTAATATGCATGCTCTTTATGGCAATCTAAATATAGATTAAATCCCACTGAGATACTAATTAGTTACAATTTGCTCGAAGAAAGCTCGACTAGTTTAAATAAATTGGAATAAGCTTATTGCCATTCAAATGCCCATGAGCATTTTTAGAATTCTGCGGCAGCATAATGGCATCCTTTTACTCCATTGTTTGATTGTTCAAAAGGCACGCGTGCGTTTGAAAGTCGCCCCCCAAAGAAATACTCTTTTTCTTAGGTCCAGAAAATGGTTTGGATATTTTGAAGTATGCTCTTTTCGCTACGGGCGTGTAATATTGTGCGGACCTTTTGCCCGTGCGTACTTCAACCTAAAGTGCCACAGTAAACAGACAAAAGACAGATGACAACGGGAGCTGCTGGGCAAGTCAAGTGGAGTGTAGTCAAGTGAAGCGTACAAATAAATGTTGTATAGCGCATACACATGTACGTGTGTATATGTACATGGCTGCTGCTTTATTTTACAGATTGTGGGCTCAGATAGGGCATAGGGAAAATATTTTATATTTGTACAATACGTACAACAATTTTCAATACGGCAAAAGGTACAAACAATTGATAAGCGAATTGCGACGCACACACAGCAGACAAGACAGGCAACCAAAATTGCTGAAAGGGAAAGTACAAACACAGATACACGAGAGGCTGTGATAAGAAGTGGTCCTCCTAAATGGCGACCATGACAACAGGCCAGTCAATTGTGCGTAAAACTTTTCATGCGATGCGAAAACCAAAGAAAACCGACACAAAGGAAATATTTGTAATATTTCATTAGCAGGAGCTGCGTGGAAGAACATTCTGCTTAATAGTGTTCAGATTTTAATCGCGTTGCTGGCCGTGTGACTCAGTGAGTTTTACGAATCTTTTCATTTGAGCCGCTCGCCAGTAAATTGGAAACAGAAATGCATAGGCAGGCAAGGCAGGGGTCGGCATAGATCAAATAGATTAGTTGACTTGGCTACTACTATGCATACAGTACATATAAGGCCTGTAGGTATATATGCATCTACAGAGAGCGACACTTTAGCACACATAATTACGCTGCACAAAAAGCTCGTCTATTACACGGAAAAATAAATCAAACTTTGACATGACAAACAACGGCAGCAAACTTAACTTGAATATAATGCTTGCCACAATTCGTTGTCGTTGGCTTTTTGCATTATTTCGTTTTGTTTTATGTTTTTGCCACTTGGGGCTGTACCTATTAAATTACCAAACAACCGAAAATGTACATAAAAATTGCACGTAATTAGCATTTCAATGTTTATGACTAATTTGCTGCAGTTTGTAGATTAATTGGCTTTTGTGTTAACGGCTTAGACAATAAAAAACCACCACACAAACAAAACATAAAGCGTAGTAAGCTGACTTGGCCAGACATCAGCACAATGTTGAGATGGGCTGCTCGCTCTTGGCTTATAATTTGGCTTAAATATGGCCGCGATTTCCCGGTTAATCGATATGTATAATACCGTGATGACCTTAACGCGAGTCGAATGTCAAATGGTTCACAGATGTGGGATGCTGTCTGTGTGGGGGTGTGACCGCAGCATTAATCAGCGGCAAGATAATTCACTCAATTCAATGCGATCGATTAACAATTGATTAATTAAAGTCTAAACATATCGCTGGGATGTTCGTGGCTACAGGCAATTTTGAGCATAATTACCAGCACTTGAAAGTTTTGTTTTTTTTTTTATTTAATTGAACAATTTAGAGTAATAGATTCACAGAATATACTGTGTTGTAAAAATTTTCGTCCACAGCTCGTTGTCTCATCACGAAAATATTTACCCCCAATGGCATTTAATTGCCCCTCTTCCATATGTTTAAGCTTAAGCATCGGCAAATGAAATTGCGAAAATATAAAAAATGTCAAACATAATTTCAGTTGTGTACGAAGCGAAATCAATCAGAAGCTGGCCAGGCTCACTGGGTCAACATGTCGCATGTCGCATGTCGGATGACGCGCCACGGGGCGTATGAGCAATGAGCGCTGACAGCGAACAACGAGCAGAACGAGATGGTTGGAGATGGAAAGATGGAAAGATGGATAGAGGCGGGCCCCTATAGAAAACTTGGAGCGTTAATAGTTTGCTGTAATTAATTGTAAACTGTTTTAATGCCGCGACTGCTGGCGACTTTAATTAAGTTGCATTTGTGTTTTGGACACGGCCAAAGAAACAAGATTCAGCATATATCTTTGCTGCCACATCCTCTGCATTTGGAAACGGGTTGACAAATTGTTGACCATTTACATGGCATATTATTGTAGTCGGCCTGTCGGCTGGCCGCCAGCTGACAAATCTCTATTTACATTGTTGAATGCGTTATAAATGATTAACTGCTATTATTTGCGACCGGCAGTGTCTGCGCTAATGCCTTGAAATTTATGCCCCATGTCGGGGCGCGCACAAACAAAACCAGCAAAGCAGCAAACCAATAAACATTCTGCCCAGAACTTGTTGCACTTCCATGTTATTCGAAACGCCATTTGTCTTGCTTAAGCACACATTTTCAATATTCGACTGGCGACCGTAGGAAAATGTCAGAATTTTCCTGTGCGAATTTTTAGTTATTGCAGGCTTTTGGCTGCCCGAAATGATTGCAATTAAATGGGATGATTTATGTGAAAAAAGAGCTCGAAACGCCCGCACAAAATACACGACATTCGTGGGACCTCCAAATAAGACAAATCGGAACACCTGATATATTGGAAAATCAAGCGGAAAAATCTCAGGCCCTCTGGTCGTAAATTTTAACCAGAGATTTGTGCCAGTTTTCGTTTGGAAAATACTGAAAACATCATCATCACAAGTTCAGTCAGCTTTTTTCAGTCGGCACACTGCTCATTTCACAAATTTATGTATGTTCTTTTTAATTTACGAACTCAACTCATTCATATTCATATCATTTGGGTCTAGCCCTAATAAAGTCCAATTTTATGCTAATGTCCGAATGTCTATTTTCCCTTCGCTTGGCTTTACGCTTTTGTGATTTAGAATATTTGCTTTATGCAATGGCCGGCCGGTAATTAATTAAAAGGCACATGTTAGATATATTTTACTTCGGTCTAATTAACTTTTACGATGGTCAGGAGAGGCAAACGGTTCTATAACCTTTGTAAGTGATGGTGACTTGGCAAAATATCGGTTTTCTTGACCAGCAAGCTCTGGATGTTGATTAATCTATTTTGGAAGGAGGCTTAGACTTGGAAATAATGGTTACACAATTATGGTCGTTGAAAGGGGGATTATTTCTCAACAGATGACTTGGAATGGCTTACATTCAGATAAATACTATCCACAAATTATTCTAGCAGATACAAGAGTTCCAATTAAAATTAAATGAAATGACCTTTTTCGTGTTAAGTTTCAGGAGTGCTAAAATCGATTTTAAAATCGTTTAATTCCGCATCACTTGGTTGGGTCATCGCCCCACCCATACTCCTCGAACTGGCGCCATTTGGCAAAGAAAATTATTTGCACAGCTGTCGAACAGAAGCCACATGAGTAGGGACACACCATTGAATGGAGTGCGATCTGAAATGCTTTCGAGTCTAATTAATGCTATTTAAATTTATGCATTTATCTGGATCACAAGCGAAAAGGAAGAAAAAGATAAAAACGAAACGAAACGAAGCTAAAAACATAAACATCAAGAGCAAAGTGTGTCATGCAGTTAAATAAATTTCCTCAGTTCCGCCACTGCGACTGCTGTCAGGCCATAAATAAATAAAAGAAAAAGAAACGAAACGAAACGAAATGAAACTACGCCCAAACAATTTCCAAATTAACAAAACTAAAGAAAAACAAAAGAAATATACATGTCCGATGGAAGGGAGCGGGGATGGCGGGGAATGTAACATTTTAAATTGCATAAAATTAAATCAAATTCTAATGTGGCAGGGCTTGGCCTGAACGACTTGCTCCGACGCCTACAATGGACGACAAATGAAACGAGTGAACGCCGTCAAACGACTTCCTAAAACGCTTCAATGATTTCGTCTAACCCATTTTAATACGCGTATATATCTGCAGCTCGATCTGTATCTGTATCGGCTCAGGCTTTATAGAGAAAATGTGCTCCATGGAGAAGGGTGCATCTGAGCTTTGCATTTGCCTTTTTCAGCTGGGGCGTTTTTCTTTGGCATTTTCTGGGCCTGTCGCTGCCGCCAAGACAACTTAACAGATGACTGACTCTATGGGCGGTGGAGAAGATACAGATACAGCTACAGCTACAGCTACAGATACACCTTGGCACATAGCTCTGGCACACCTTTAAGCCATTTCCGGTGTAGCCCAGTTGCTCAGCGAACGCGTTGTCAATTCTAATTGGCGGAAGTCGTGTGCTCTCCCCGAATACATAAATTAGATCATCGTTATCATTATCGTCGTCATTATGCTAGGACCACTTACATCTGGATGCTCGCGCACTGGCACATAAACCTTCTCGTTCATCGTCACCACAGAGCCCTCGGGTTCGGGCAGAGTGAGGGGCTCCTTCTTGACCCCATTGATCTGGAACAGTGAGGCGCGCACGCGTGCAATTTCTGGAAAGATCAATCAGAGATAATGCGGTATTAATACATGTTTATGTGCGATCATAAATAGGAGCAATTTGGGCGGGAATAATGCAAGTTCGCAGTAGTATAGCTTATATACAAAGTATGCATTTGTAAGACTATCATATCAAACAGAATTATTTTTGCACAGAATTACTACAACACAAAGAACATTTAATGACAACTGCCCACCCGTCGCATACTAAACGTATCGTTACTAATCATTATGAAATCCACTCTTACAGCACAGTTTATTATTTTCCGAGCGTAATAATACACAGATGAAAGGCAAACAAACAAAGCGTTGATAATTTTAATTGCAGGCTCTTTGCCTCCACTTCAATCGAGTGAATGGAGGCTCAATTTGTCATTTCAGCTAAGTGCTTGTATTAAACAACGTTTAATTTGCCTCTGGGTGGAATACGAACTAAATTAGCATCAATAAAATGGCGTGTGAATGTGTTCACTCAGCCATCGACTGATGTTCTGGCTTATTTATTAGGTTAATCCATGAAATCACTTGGTTTATATTTAAACAAATTATGCCATAATATACCCAGCATCATCGCAAAATGATGACCGATCCACAACAGCCACCCCAACCCTTCGAACTGAGCTCATGCACACATGCCACGCCCCCTGCCTCCCAGTTAGCCCCCTGCTTTTCACACTCTTGCTGATTTTCCGTAGCGGGTGGGGCGATTCAACCCCCAACTGTGTCAGTTGACAGGGGCTCTCGAATTGATATGATCAACATTTTGCTGCTGCTGCTGCTGCTGCTGCTGCTGGTGGTGTTGTTTAGTTTTGCATAAGCTCAATTGCATTGTTTGTCTTTTGGCATGTGCTTTGACAATTTGTCACTAAAAGTGGGTAATTGTGCTGGGTGTGTTGGCCTTTAGCGGGTGCGAGGGGGGGAAAGGTGACTGCATCGTATGTCACAGAAATGATTTAAGAATTTGCCACTAAATGACATCAAATTAAATGCCTGACTTCTCTTACTAAATGCCGACATTTTGACACACAGTTATCTGATTTCTTTGACGGTGTAAGTGATTGTTGACATCAGAAATCATAGGAATAAACTTTTTTTGGGCTAACCATAAAGTGTTGTGTGCTTATGTGAAGAAACACTTTAACACCTAAAATGAAGAGGATTTAGATGCATATAAAACAATTTTCCGACATGCATACGTGTTTTTATTGTGAAAATCCTTGTACGAGTTTCTTGACCTGTTGAATGAATAACAACTTGTTTGGCATTTAAATTAATTATGTTTGATATTTGTATCTAGCCACCTACTGGCTTATTTTCTTATTTATTTCCCCGAAGCTTTCTCCGTGTGCCACATAAATAAAATTTAAATTAAAAAAAATCTGAGCACACTGAGCAAACAAAGAAGACGACAAGAAATTGCACAAAATTTAAATTTACTTTTTTCCGAGCGGTGCGAAAAAGAAACGCTGGCCAATTCCAGAGTTCATTACGGGCCAAAGAACCCATAAAGAAAATGCCAAAGAGCCAAAATGGAGAATGAATCGGAGAAACCGAGCCGAAACCAACAAAAGTCGCTCTAAGCACTTGACTCGATTATTGATGAAGATGGTGAAGAGATTTTCCCCACGACCACAATTAAGAGCAGCTGCAGAAGGGCTTTTCATTTGCGTGTAATTTATTGCGACACGCAAGTAGAGCATTCCATTGGTGGCATCATCATCATCATCATCAGCAGCAGCAGCAGCCGCAACAGCCACATTATCATCAGCATCAGCAGAATCATTTCGGCGATTCTAAGCCATATGAGCCGAATGGCATAAACGCAATCATGACAGCTGTCAATTTTAATCGAGCGAGTGTCAATCGGCATCCACATCTATTCAATCTGCAACGTGACCGATGTGTGGCAGTGGCACGAAGATTGTGCAGCCAGATTAGATGAATAAGCCGCGCCAAATTGGTGTAAAATTGCATTTGCATACGATCGAAACCGATGACGGAGTCACTGATTCACTTCTGGGGCCAAGTCAGACGAATGGATTGATAGCGGCATTTAGATAAATTACAATAATCAAGACCCAGCCATATGCGCAGGCGGCTTAATTAATAGCAGCTTAGTCAGCGGCTTGGCACGGACACTGTGACTCTATAATTAAAGCCCTGGCTCAAAATCACCTGTTGCCAACTGACCATTTTAGGGCATAACTGGGCAGAACTGCGCTTTCATACATATTCGATATATGTTCGTATGTAGTGTAGAGTGGGCGGGGAGAACGAGAGCAGTGCCAATCTAATAATTATCAATGAAAGATCTTTTTATTCATTAACAAGTCCGAGTCGTTTGTGCTTTTAAGGCAATCTCCGCATCTTGTTCGCAACGCGACTCATAATTTACATACACCGCGCGCTTATGACTCTATATCTCTTGGCCAACTCGCTGCTGGACCTCTATATATGGCTAGGGACGGAGCTACCAAATTTGGCACCCCAACTAGAGAGGTTGGCGAAAAATACAAAAAAAAAAAAAAAAAAAAAAACAAGAACCAAACTGCTTTGCGTGTGTGCTCAAGTATTATTATCATTTTGTATAATTTTTTCCCCGCTCTTTTTATAGCCAGCCCCCACAAAAGCACTTATGGCGAACCTTACTATGGAGCGTTATTAGTCAAGCAACTAAGAATAAAAATGGGTAAAGCTGAAGGTTGGATGAGGCGTGTTTAAAAAGGATGGACCTGTTCAATTTCTGCATGACATCATCATTGAATCGTATGCGAATCTATAGATTCCTTGGGATATTCGCCCTTCCTGAAGGTGGGCGAACCTAACACAAGATTTCCCGACTTTTTGCTTCGTTGGCGTATTTTGCAACATTTGAATTTTAAATTTAGCCTCCCTCCTGCACTTGGTGATGAACAAGAAACACGAAGTACGAAACACAAGTGCAAACGACAGCCAGTCGAGCGTCAATAAATTGTCAAATTTTATGCACCACGATTTTTTGGCAAGGGTTCTTTATGTCCGCCAGCAAGTAGGGCATAAAATGTGTACATACTACTGCGGAATATTAATGTGCAATCAGAATTAAAATATTTTACATATTTTTAGCCAACAGAACATTAGCTTCGATTTTCGTTTGTCAACCGGTCTTCAGAAATTCGCTTACTGCAATTCTAATGACAATCGGGTAGAATTAATATAAACCGAGTGGCAAATTACTGAAAACCAATGCAATTTTTGCCAGTAAACTTGGCATATCTCGACACCGTGATCAGCTATCCATTAGCGAAAACCTCGTTCGCACCGAATACACTAAGAGGATATAACTTATCGAATCCTAAACTTGTCAATCTAATAAGATATGCCAGACAGATGGCGCGGACACCTCTAAACCAAATTAAAACCGCACTCAGCTCAGCAGCTTAGCGGTGCTGATTGATTGTTTTAAGCCGAGAGAACAATTTGCATTGGATCACGACTTCAGGTGAGAATCGATACAACAGTTGGTTATACTATATACTCTATATACAAAGTACACTGGCTGAGTGCGACACATATCTGAGTGTGTGGCGGCTAATTTATGAATGCAAAATCATTCATACCACACGAATTAGATGACTGCCAGCTGATGAGCGTGTGGGCGTTTTTTAGCCAAGAAAACAATGTCAACTGCGATCGTTTGGGTTTTTGTCTCGGCCCCCATAGCTTTGCACGGGTGTGTGTGTGTGTGTGTGTGTGGGCTGGGAGTCTTAACAAATTGTCACCAGAAATGGCCGGAACGCTCGAAAACGTTTAAGGTTCAGCCCGATTGTTGTGCCTTCTGTGGCCGCAATTAAGCCAGGTCCCGCATATTTGGCAAGCGCCCAAAATGTATTTGATTTTATGGTTTTTATTTGCTGTTCGTCATGAACTCCATTGGCCTTGGGCGCATTCGCAAATTCGCGTTGTACTCGCATTTAAGCCAAACCGAAAATAATGTTTATTGTGCGTTCAAGTAATTTCATTTATTCATTTGCATATTTTGTGCATATCTTTTCGGTTTGTGGTTTGCGCGAGGCATTTGGCTTCTAAATCAACAGTGGGTTACAAATATAAAAATTAAAATATTTACCAAGAGTTTATCATGACAAATTGCTTCCTAGAATCAAGTTTTTTAAATTAAATGATAAATTTATAATCATATTGTTGATTAAAGCAAATAATCCATAAATGGCAATATCGATCCATGAACCTTAATGTTATAGCCCGCACTGTATGCCAATCGCTTCGCATCAAGGCAAAAATAAACATTTGTTAGTCTTGCTACTTGTTTTGTGTTTTAATATATTTTCAGCATTTTAATTAATGACTATATACAGGCCAGCGACAGCAATGACAGTTTTTTATGCATTTTTATTAATAAATTTCTACCATCATAAAGCTGTCAGTGAGCACTTGGTTCACACGCTCAAAGTCCCATGGTCTCCACCATTATAGTATCACTTCTGGCACGACATTAATATATCAATTGGTTCATCAGATTTTTTTCCCAAGACCCATAAAGTTTTGTTAACATGATTTTATAAATTTAAATTGCATATGCAAGCGCCACACATATTTTGTATCTGCCAGACTTTAACCCACATTCGGTGAACAGAAAACAAGAGTTGTGGAAAGTTGTCGCCAAGGAATGAAAAACATACGTAAATAAAAACGATTTCGTTGACTCACCAACAGCAGCAACCATTAAAAGTGAAATAAAACAAAGAAAAACACAATTAATGCTGGCGGAAAACATAACAGTGAAGCTAAAAGAAAAGCATTAAACAAACAGAAAAAGAAATACTCCCGTAAAAAATAGGTCAACGAATTGCGAGCAAAACAAACTCAGAGGAGGAAATGAAAATGCCATCGGATGAAACCAGGAGCCAAGGAACAAGTGCTCCTCAGAGCGTATAATCAACGAAATACAAATGTTCCTGATCACAAAGGAAACAAGTAAAATGAAAGGCAGACA